TGCTTCGTTGAGTAGGAGATACGACTTAAAGCTGCAGTAAAGCTGCGGACACACATCCATTCATTCATTCATCCATCCATCCAGAAATAACGAATTAATAATCGCAATTCCAGTATGGAAATTGCGCTAAAAATAACTTAAATTATTGATGAGTTAAATTTATTTTTAAATTACCTCCCTTGCAAAAATTTTTAAAAAAAAGTTGAATTAATTAGTTTTATCGACCTACTGTTATGAAAATGTATTCACTTTTTCAAGGAATATAAACAAACGAAAATGATATTTGACATTGATCCTTTTTATATGTTTAGTAATGTGCGTGTATTTAATATTTTCTTTACGTTATGCAAAAGAGTAAAAACAGTGACAACTATAAAATAACTTTATGTTGTTATATAAACAAACCCAACACATTTACTTATAATAAGACATTGCGATGCACTGAAAAGCACTGCATGGTGCGACGTTTACTTCTATGGTTCGAAAGTCTATAGCGATGACGGAAGGCCTGACACACTATCAGCCCGCTTATATGTAAGCCCTGCTAGGGGGGGATACCTTAAAATCTACCCTTCTAGGCTTAACTAACTAATCTGTCCGGTCAGTGCAACCGTGGTAGAATCCACAGTGGTTAAACCCTAACATTAGTCTAAATAATAAGCTACTAAAATAAAACAAAAACTTTTACAGTTAATAAAATTTATTGCATGGAACCAAAAGTTATAAAAAAAAAGAATAGATAAAACTGACACAAAACAGAACCAAACGAAACAAACTTTTTACATCAAACAAAACATTACGTTTGACCATTTGCTGGTGTTGCGCCGACTTATGATGTCTAGGATGGTCCAGGCCCTGACACACAGAAACCTCCCTTCATCCATTCTCGACATTCAAAAGTCCACACCAAACAAAACACTACGTAAAACCACTACGTACAATACATTACGTAGAACACAATACGTACACAACAAACTTTTTACACCAAACAAAACAATTCATATATAACAAAACACCCAGCCAAGTTGCCCAAGCAACCTCACTCCACGCGTGCGGTGCGCCACGCAGAAACCTGACCCGACCTACATCTCGCCGCGGGTCAAAAAAAGGAAGAAAATCACTCCGAGCGGTCAATTTATACTGACCGCTTCGGACGGAAGGGGACTCCGTGCCGTTCCCCATTGGACCACCATGCACTCCCAGATTCGCAACAAATAAAATAATAAAAAAATAATCCATTCACCCGCTCACATTCACCCCTTTTAAAAATCTTACAGTCCCTGTAAGACAAAAAAAATGCATATAACAATCTTAAAATAAAAAATGCACCCATCTCTTACACCAAGCCTATAAGCTTGAATGCAAAAAAAGAAACAATTTACAATAACATTAATCTTGCGTCTCTGTGCTTCCTAAAAAACTCAAGGCACCAAGATAGTGTTCCCTTCACTGAGGGCTGATTCGCGCTACTAGTCCTGTCGGTCGTTCATCCGTAAGGGCGAGGGGGGAGGGTCAGACTAGACCCGCCCGCTACTAATGGCACACATTGCCTGTCCATCCCGTCCACTACACAACACACCGTGTTCTGGTCTTGCGTCACCGTAGGCACACCGGTGGAGCGTCCGCTTGGTTGGTCCGAGATGACGCAACCGCCTTGAACCACTGGCTCTCCGACTGTTACCCGCCCCAACGATCGTGCCTCCGCTTCGACACACCTGTGGGGCGGGTGTCCAGTAGCCCTCTTTGTGGGTCAAGGAATTGACGTCATAGGCCTCTCGTTGTTCACCGGTCTGCCGTACACACCAGATCCGCGCCACGCCCGTGTGTGTTGTCCAGTCTAGACCACACGAGGCCGCCATCTTCATCACACGCCAGGTCCAGTGCCACACACCGTGCCTTGTCCAGCCACGCACACTGAAGGCTCGTCGAGGCACGTCTCTCCGCCAACCTGACTGGGTGTTTAAACAACAAACAATTCCTACACTAAACAAAAACTAAACACATATGGTTCCATAAAGGGCCTATCAAAAACAAAAAAATTTAACTAAGATACACCTAGCCCTAGCAAAAAAACAAAAATTTAACTAGACTAAAGCACTGACCCCACTCGTGCTACCAATTTGTAAGCCCTGCTAGGGGGGGATACCTTAAAATCTACCCTTCTAGGCTTAACTAACTAATCTGTCCGGTCAGTGCAACCGTGGTAGAACCCACAGTGGTTAAACCCTAACCTTAGTCTAAATAATAAGCTACTAAAATAAAACAAAAACTTTTACAGTTAATAAAATTTATTGCATGGAACCAAAAGTTATAAAAAAAAAGAATAGATAAAACTGACACAAAACAGAACCAAACGAAACAAACTTTTTACATCAAACAAAACATTACGTTTGACCATTTGCTGGTGTTGCGCCGACTTATGATGTCTAGGATGGTCCAGGCCCTGACACACAGAAACCTCCCTTCATCCATTCTCGACATCCAAAAGTCCACACCAAACAAAACACTACGTAAAACCACTACGTACAATACATTACGTAGAACACAATACGTACACAACAAACTTTTTACACCAAACAAAACAATTCATATATAACAAAACACCCAGCCAAGTTGCCCAAGCAACCTCACTCCACGCGTGCGGTGCGCCACGCAGAAACCTGACCCGACCTACATCTCGCCGCGGGTCAAAAAAAGGAAGAAAATCACTCCGAGCGGTCAATTTATACTGACCGCTTCGGACGGAAGGGGACTCCGTGCCGTTCCCCATTGGACCACCATACACTCCCAGATTCGCAACAAATAAAATAATAAAAAAATAATCCATTCACCCGCTCACATATATTATAGGATTTCGGTCTCTTATTAAGACAGACTGATGACAGACAGAGAATGCAAGTTAAATAAAAGCTTGTAAAAAATCAATTTAAGTCTACTCAAGGTTGACCAGTCTTGAGAGGTATAGTTGGCTGAGGTGTGACGTCATTTTTGGTGCTGGTCCTGGTTTTTAGTGAAGATTAATGACGTTGGTGGGAGGGGGAGGTAAAAATCATTAAAAATTAAAAAAAAGGCGATTTTGGATTGATGACCCCAGTGTAGGTATAAATCCAGTGATTCATTTACGATGTGTTTTTTTTACTTTCTCGTATATACGAAGTATAGA